TGGGTATTAACAAATATAAGATTTTAATTCATAATTTTATGAATTGATTCAATATGCTATTGACTAATTATAAAAATTATATCAAGTAGTGTTTATAGAAAGGTTATAGACTTACAGGAAGTTATTGAAACGATAACAAACAGGCCCGTCTGAACAATCTATATGGCACCAGAGTGGGGTCAAAAATAAATATTTGGCATTCACATGAAACATAGATTATTGAACCAACAATACTTTGATTATTTTCAATCCAGATGCACATGGTATTAAAAAACCATGCGCAAGGGGGAAATAAGGGAAGGCTTAAGAATAAACAAAATTATAAAAAATAAGAAGTTAAAATTAAAGGCATTTTAAATAAATTATAAAAAATAAGTTAAAATTAAAGGCATTTTAAATTAAAATGAATTTTTGCAAAGTTTTGTGAAATGTGTGGCAAAAACAAAGTTAAGAAAAGAACAGTGACAAAAATAGGCCATATGTCAGTATACCAGAAAGACTATTAAAACATTTGGTAAGGAATATGTGGACATGATATAGATGGGTAAAAGCAATGAAATCAACAGAGGAGGGGCAGGAACAGAAATTAAATCTCTAACAGAGAAGTAATCCTTAGATTAGAAGTCTATCAGAAATAAGGTCAGATAATGGGTCAGCCAAACAGAAGTATTGAAGATTAAAAATAAGTTGCATACGAACACAAGGAAGTTTAAATAATAAGGAAGTTATGATGCTAATGGTTTAAATGGTTGATATAAAAACTTTTAGATTGTTAGATATACAGAAAAAGAAATGCACATAAGGAATATGTAAGAGTGCAAAAAGTTGTTCTCTAGAGTTATTTTTCTAATTGTCTAATGAGTTTATTGAATGACTTTTATGGGGTAAATGTAACATTTCTTAGTTAGAGTGATTACATGAGACATAATTAGTTTATTCATGATGGTTTATTTAAAAATTAGTAGAAAAGAAGAAAAGGTATTCAGTTAAGGTAGTCTTGAACTGAAGAGCTACAATGAGAATGAGAAGCTACAATACGTGAGATTAAAAAGGTCAAAGAGTATTTATTGTTTAAATTTGGAAATAAAATTGACAGAATGTGAAATGTAAAACTTTATAACAACTATTAAAGCGTATTGCGATTAATTAAATAGAAGATTCACTAAAGTGTTCTGTTCGTTCATCAACTAAAAATGACTGAATAAAAAGATTGATTCTTCGAATTTAAGAATTGATATTCCTTCATAAAAATAAGAAGTGATTAAAAATAGGAAAGAGGTATTTTTACCCAGCCATATTTTGATCTCATATTAATATAGATCATGAGAAACAAAAATGCAGAATTAATCAATTAGACAACTATAATAAGCAGAGATTTAGTATAATGCTTTGTCTGCATTAGGAGAAAAACAATTATGTGAAAAAAGTAGAATGACTTATGTTTGGAGATCAGTGGTGCACTTTTACTAAATAATATTGCGAAGGAAAAATTAGCGATTACGATTAAGTGGGAGAAAAAACTTAAGAGCAGAAGTTAAGGAAAACGTGATTTAAAATTTGGAACACTGGGAGCATGGTTTGCAAAATTAGGAATGTTTTTTGGACATGCAATATTGAAAGGGTTATTATTCTGTTGTGTACTTTGCATATTAAGATCACTAGTTGGAAAACCACGGTTAAACGAATGGAAACTAACGAATGGAAACTAAATGAAAACTAATTTGTGAGGGCAACCAAATTGATATTTACAACCCCTGGATGTTGATTCAAGTTCCTCAAATGAGGATGAAGAAGATGATTGATGAGCCAGACCCTGGGTCTATGTGCTAGCATAACCTCTCCCCAGAAGGGTGACCCTCTACGATGCACAAAGTGTCTGGGTCGAAGAGAATGTCTACACTGCAAAAAACCTTTCAATAAGAGACTTTTTATGTTTGACATATTTTACATAACTGTGACAATGACAGGCAATGCTGAACCAAATGTATACACACACTTATAACACTGTCTTATTCTTGGTTTAATTTTGATTAGGGAGAATTCCGAGTCTTTTACTCTTTTCATTGAAAGAAAAAACAACTGAAAGAAAATGGAGAGAGATGTTTGGCTCGAATGCTCCTCCGGAGTATGGTGGCATAATTCAGTCATTGTAAAGGATGGGTGACGTGATTGAGTCACTAGGTAGCATAACTGAGGGGGCTGGATTTTGAAACTACACTCTGGAAAAGGATAGTGAATGTGGGGCTTAGATAAGCCCCAGAGGAGGGAATGTTGAAGATTTTATTATTCAGAAAACAAGTAATTTAGCCATATAAGAATACACAATTATTTCTCTGTCTAGGCGACTTTGAAAGCTGCAAGACCTTCTGTAAAAAGACCCTGAATGTCAATTCTATTCTGAGAAGTCACATGGTACAAGACCTTTACCTCAAAATATCTATAAGTGTATGACCATCTTTGGAAAAGGATGTATGTATATATGTGAGAAGCTGGGCACGGATCAGGAGTGATCGCCTGCAGGAGGAAGGGGTCTCCTGCTGGAGGGAGTGATCCCCTGCAGGAGATGCTCGGCTTTGTTTGTTAATAAAGTCTAATATTTCTGGCATCAAAGATCTATGCGAAGTTATTTTACAGAACAATTGAAACCACTACACACGTCGCTCGCGAGCTGCCAGTAGCTCGTGGCCTGATTGGTGGTAGCTCGCCAAGGGGCCGTTCACATATCGCGCTCACATATTTTGCGCGCTTAAGTTCGTTATTTTAAATGTAGGCGCGCGGCAAGCGAGCTCATAATTGAAGCGACGCGCTTATTTTTTCCAGGCGCAGTATGTTTGTACTTCGCGGTCGTCTATGACAACTATTGACAACAAACCCACCGTAAGCTGTCACGAGACTATCTATGGTAGCCCGTAAGGGATAAAAAATAATAATAATTAAAACGCGGCACACGCAACGATGGGCCGCACTAACATTAAACTTTAATGTCAAGTAGGGGGCCGCGAGTTTGAGACCACTGGTTTACACAGTAAACTCGTCTCTGTATCTCTATTCTCTCAGGTGTTTACAGTAAACTTGTGTCTGTAACTATTCTATCAGATGTTTATACAGTAAACTCGTCTCTGTATCTCTATTCTATCAGGTGTTTATACAGTAAACTCGTCTCTGTATCTCTATTCTCTCAGGTGTTTATACAGTAAACTCGTCTCTGTATCTCTATTCTCTCAGGTGTTTATACAGTAAACTCGTCTCTGTATCTCTATTCTATCAGGTGTTTATACAGTTAACGCGTCTCTGTATCTCTATTCTCTCAGGTGTTTATACAGTAAACTCGTCTCTGTATCTCTATTCTATCAGGTGTTTATACAGTAAACTCGTCTCTGTATCTCTATTCTCTCAGGTGTTTATACAGTAAATTTATCTCTGTATCTCCATTCTCAGGTGTTTAAACGGTTATACTGATCTCATCTTGAAGAAAAAGTGAAATTTAGAACATAAGAAACATCTACATATTTAACATGTACTCAAAAGTAACTTGTGAAAAATGAAAATTAGACTACACCCTACAGTGTACTCAATGGATACAGTGTACTCAATGGATGCATGGTACATCACATGAATTAAGTTTCCTTAAATCTTCCTATGAGTGTAAAATATCCACTGTACTGCCTACACTAGGATGGACAAGACAAGTCATCTTTATTTATATAGCGCTTTTAACAATGTAGATTGTTCCAAAGCGGCTTCACAGTGATAAACGGATAATTTAAGGTAACCAGTCAGTGGATGTACACTAGGATGGACATACCTTCAATCTCAATGTCATCAAGCGATTTGCCTTGAATATTAGGAAGACAGCCCTTTTCCATTGCTAGCAATAACTTGGATATTTTAGCCAGCTGAGTAGTGGCTTCAGGCAGCCTGTAATAGTCGCGGTGGACGCGGATATCATGTCCTAAGAAATCTGCCACCTGATCCAATTCATTGTTTTTCAGGTTTAGGATTTGGGAGAGAGTAGCTACATGTTTGCACAGAGAAGTTGATCTTAGAAATTCTGGATTTTTAGCTCCACATTCACTTGCATAGACTCTAAGAGTCTGTGACTCTGGGAGTTGGGTCTGGCAAACAAGAATTCATTAGTGTCCAGTACTCCACATTCACTTCTCTTGCTGACCAGCAGTGTCAGGGCATCAACCATATCAGATGAGAGAAGAACCGCAACCTTTCTTCCCCTTTTCCCCCTGATCTCAACGCGACTAAAATGGCTCCACAGTTTCTGTTCAAAGTTGCTCAGGCCCATGGCAACATCATCATGGAAAGAAGTGCTGTCCCTTTCTTTGAAGCCTTTGAATGGCATTTTAGAGACCTCTCCTGCACGTCTGCGGTTGAAAACAATGATTTTGGTGAGCATTGCTTTGGTGTAGCTTTGAGGTGACCCAGTCTCTTTTAGTTTCTGCAATGCCGTGTATGCAGTCTTAAGGAACCGATGAAGGCACTTTACGTCCTGAGTGAAAGGCAGTGTTAAAGGCTTGTTAAATTTCGTCTCATTCAGTGTAACTAAAGCACTCTGCGAGATCATCTCGGACCACTTTGAGGAGTAGAGCTTTTTAAAGGTCTCTGTTCCCTGTTCCGATCAGTTCCTTGTCCTCGGACATCAGTGCTCTGCAATGAATGATTTCACAAATCTTATTCAAAGAATGCCCCAATTTCAGTGCAAGGCTTGGACATTGATAGCAGTGACTCTCGTCGTCATAGCCAGACACCCTCTGGACCGCTCCAATGAGTCTGTGAAAATTGGCAGGTTTCACAGCTTCTTCAAGACTGTTTATAGAAAACTCTCTACGCAAAGTCAACAACAATCTTCCAATTTATCTGAGTTTTTGACGAATGTACTCAAATTTGGTAGGGTCATGTCCATGTTTGTTAAAGAAAGACTGTGCAAGCTGAAGAATACTCAGGTCATTTTTGACAACAGCAGAAATGTCATCCTGGTTCCAAAGAGTTTCCAAACTCCTTGAGATATCAGCTGACTGAATGAAGACTCTGCCATAGTTGCCAGACCCAAAACCCTGGTTCTCCCTTGGTTTTCACTGTCAGACGCTGGTTTTGAGGAACATCTTTTCAAATGAAGCCATAGATCTCTCTGTACAAACATCCCTTTGCAGTGCATGCAATGCACAAAATGCTTTAAATCACGTTCTTTTTTTGGTGTGCGTTTTATTTTAAGGGCCCCCTCTCCACACTGTAAAACGTCTGTGTTATGCTGATAGTTGCCCTTGTTCCTGAGTTTTTCCAGCATTGCTTTACGTTCTTTGGAGTGCACAGGGAGTGACAAAGCCTGCCCAACTTCAACATCAGACATATGAGTTTTCAAATGGCGTGCTAACTTGGACTGATGTTTCCCGCAGATGTAACAATAGTTCTTATTATTTGTTGAACAGGAAATCTTTGCTGATTGCTCACACTGATCTGCTTCAGACATACTGCTTTCTGTACCTTCCTCTCTCAACGTTGCTGCCCTTTTTGCACTCAAAAGCTTCTCAGTACTGTCCTCTCTGTTGTGTGATCAGGGTGATGACATAACCTCTGTTGATCTGCATACCTCTGAACCTTGTTTTCTGGGAAGGTGGCATTCAACTGTCTCTGATTCAATGTCTCTCTCAACATCAGTCAACTGTTCCTCATGACATAGCAAGCCAGACTCTTCATACACACATGCTGCTTCCCTGGCCTTTAAGATTGTTTTCCCTTTGTCCTCAGATAAATTCAGGGGGGTTACATCAGATCTCAGGGGTTCACTAAACTTAGAGGATGCAGCTCCCTGTATATCTGAGAGGAGTTTAGCTTGATCAGATCTTGCTGGTCTTGTTGTCAGTTCAACTGAACTGTCTGACTGATTGTCTGACTCAGACTGTGGTATGTATTCCTCATCTGACTGCTCGTCTTCCTCTGAACTTACTTCCTATTGTAAATATACTTATGATTAATTTACAGCAATAATAGAAAGTTAATTCATAAAACTGAGGAGCAAACAATATAGAAACAAACATGCTCCTACCAGTGATGACTGTTTTCTAGTCCATTTGTGAAACTTTGAATAACAGGACTTGTGCCAAAAACTGGAGCACACTATGATATAAATCATGTATCAGGACAATTTCAGCTGTTAACATTTGCATTGTATTTAGGTATAGAATCTCATGTTAATTTACCATTACCCTCTTTTTCTTATTAATGGTTTTTAGTGGTGTAATAGATCGCAAAACTCACAAAGGTTTGGATCATATACAGTTTTTGGTAACAGATAGGATATTATTTTAAGATCAGGAAAATAGAATAAAAAATAAAGAGGTGTGTGTTTAAATGTAACTTTGCTTTACATGCATTACTTTAAGCACATTTTAAGTACTTTTATACCACAGTTATAACTACTAGCCTAACCAATAATCTGATAATAACCTGCAACAGTTCTTCAATTTTGATCTTAAATCTTAAATGAATGATACTTAAATGAATTAACCCTCTGGGGTCTGAGGTGTTTTTGGGGCCCTTGAGATGTTTTGACATGCCCTGACATTTGTGCATATTTCAGCTACTTAAAACATACCATTTGCCAACATATAAATTTGCTGTATTCAGCACAAACTCTGCTACAATATTATGTGACCAAAATGGATGTACATGTTTGCATTTTATAGAAAAGAAATATTATGCGTGGTTAGTACGTTTTGGGAAAAAAAATGTCACCGCAATAAGGCCATTTAACACATACTGAATAGTTCTCCACAAGACTTTTGAGTTACTATTCTTGTAGGCTAGAATTTTTACTTCAAAATGAAGTGAAAATCATTCTGCCCACTCTTTCACAAACAACAATATGACAAATTTAATTTCTTACGTCAGTTTTTGGTCATCACTGCTGTATGCGTGGTAGTGTGAATGGCCATGAATATTAATGTGATTTACACCTGGGAAGACTAAAGACACTCCCCCAATGGCTAATGGCCCAAGGTGCTGTGAGGCAGCCTGAACTAAGAATGATGAATGATGATGATTTTGAATGAATGATGATTTTATTCACTGATGAATAAAAAGTTAAAAAGAACAGCATTTATTCAAAATAGAAATCTTTCCTAAGAACATAAAGACTTAAAGTCATTCATATCACTTAACAAAAAAAAAAAAAAAAAAAAAAGACCAAACTTGTTTTTTTTTTTATATAAAATAAAATGCATTCAAAGAATCCTAAAAAAAACTATCACAGGTTAAAAAAAATTAAGCAGCACAACTGTTTCCAACATTGATTTAAAAAAACACAATTAGGCTACATTACATCTGTAAAATATTACATCTATGCGCTTACTCAATATGATTCTCGATAGCACTGCAGCCACATTCCTAAAAAAATAAACAAAAAAACTGTTAGCACATTATCCAAAGTAAACTGCTGGACAATTAATGGTTATAGATGCACAATGTATCTGTTGATGGACGGAGAAAACATCTATTGATGGGTAGACCGCATCACCGCGAGTATCTGTTTATGGCCCATATAGACCGCACGCATTTACTGATACACTCAATGAACGGATGTACCGAATACAAATAAAACATCTCCAGTTAACTAGCAGAGCATTCATTTAGTCCGCTCATAACTAAGAGATCTAGTGCTAAAATGTTTTGTTTTTGAACTCAAGCTGAGCGCTAGTGTCCGCTGCTATCAGTGTCATGGATCCAGTCTCTTGTGGCGGCGCGCGCGCAGTCTTCACTCGGACGCGCTCTTCAATCTATCTCCGTTGCGGACACTATTCATTCCGGTGAAATCACATAATAAAATGCACACAAACGTGTGTCCTATATATGTGTGTGCTTGACATAGACTGTAACCACTGATGAACATATTCAGTTTTGATGAGAGAAAAAAAAAACTATACCGAAGGGCGGATTCGAACCCGTAACCTCTGAGACGCTTGGCAAAATATCTACCACTAGACCACTGAAGTACTCACACAAAATATGCGGATCGATATATTTCACTAAATCATTATAACCTAAGCAGTTGTTCAAAAAGTTTACACAAGCGTATAAGCCTACACGAATTTTAGGGATATTGTGAGGTAATATTTCCTATGTCAAAAGCTACCTAGCCAAAACTAGGCAAAATATAGTCTGAAAATTCATTTGAGCTCTATGATCAGAAAAGGAATTACAAACACTAAACAACTTACTCAGAGCTTGTATCCTCGGCGGGGTCAATTCGTTCTTCAAAATGCAGCCGTTCGTTCTTCAAAATGCAGCCGTTCGTCGTCCAAGTTTCAAATTCCTCTGAGGAAAATGTGAATTCGTCCCCGCTGTCCATAATCCTTTGAAGGAGTAGCGTGGTGCCATCCTCAAAACGCGATGAACTATCAGTGATTCTGATGAAGAAAGTTACTTCGTGTTGTTATGGCATTGATCGGGGGGCGTGCCGCGTGTGCGATGCATAAATCGCCTATTTACCATGTGAAAAGCTCTAGGGGCGTGGCGGTCTCAGCCAGGGTTCTAAATTAACTTTTTTGATCACCAGCCAATGTGGCTGGTAACTTTCTAAAGTTACCAGCCAATCAGAATTTCCACTAGCCAAATTTTTTTCCGGTGAAAATAAGAGAAATTATGAGTGCCACTGAATGCATTTGGTCATTGTATTAACATTGTTGGCATGAAAAACACATATAAAGTACAATACAAGACAGAAAGTGCAAACATTTCATTTCAAGTTTGGTATCTATCTATCTATCTATCTATCTATCTATCTATCTATTTGGGATGTGCACGAATATTCAAATTTTCGATCTGTAATTCAAAAAATTTTCTTCTTTTTTTTTCCAGTTATAATTAAATGCACTGAGTGGAGCGTGTTTAACAAGTGGATTGTATTTGATCACATAATGTCGTTGTCTGCCTCACGATGTTTGGAATTACTTAGATGAAAATTATAGCCTATTACAAAATGTAATTACTTTTAAATCAATTATTAATTAAACTGAGTTATCATAATATCACCACCACAATATATAGGCCTATGAGAAATCACATGAAATACAAAGAAACACCAGTCGACTGAGGAAGCAGCTGTCCATCACTGCATTAACGACTGCAGGACAGCAGCTGTACCCCAAGGGAATCATGGTCCGAGATGATATCTTCTGGTAGCAAAATGATTTTGAGACATATGCTTCCTTTAAGTTTCGTTGAGGGATACAGGTTTAAGAACAGAAAACGACTCGGTTACTAACGTAACCTCGGTTCCCTGAGAGGAGGGAACGAGTATTGCGTAATAGCTTTACGCTATGGGAAAACTCCTTTTCTCGAGAAATATTGAAGTCTTTATGTAAAACGCATTGCAGCTGCACAGCATACAGCAATGAGCGAGGCAGCTCGGTCATTGGCTGTGCTGCGGCAACTTGCACGAACCAATGACGGGGCGACTCTGAACCCGCTTCCAATGAGCGTGCTTCGCGCCCACGCGCATCAGAGCCCGCCAAGATGGGCGTGGCCAAGGGCTATATATTGGGCGCCCCGTCGTCTGAGTTCTTTAGGTTCAATCGACTGAAGCAAACTGACCAAGCACAAGCACGGCAGATTACGCAATACTCGTTCCCTCCTCTCAGGGAACCGAGGTTACGTTAGTAACCGAGTCGTTCCCTTTCGAGAGGTTCCTCTTATTGCGTAATAGCTTTACGCTATGGGAACGCCATGTAAAACGCCGTGCGTGCTGACTTCGCTCTATTAAGCCGGAGGCAGATGTCTGAGCCTTCGAGCAAAGTAATTATCCAACGAGCCAGCCGAAGGCAGGCTTTATAAAAGGACAACTTGGAACGGCCCGATGGGCGTCCAGAGACACACACACAAGCACATTTTCATGTACTGTCATGTATGAAAATTCCTGTACATCAGTCAAAGACGGATTTTATGAGGGGGGAGACAATGCTCAGCATGTACACACCTCAGCCTATGCATAGTTAGACCGACAGTATGTTAGAGTGCAATGAGGGGACCTGTAGGTTATAAAACCTGATAAATGTGGACGGTGAGGCCCAGCCTGCAGCCGCACAAATATCTTGAATGGGTATCCCACTCGACCACGCCCACGAGGAAGCCATGCCTCTCGTAGAGTGAGCTCTGATGCCCAAGGGGCACTGAAGGCCCTTGCCTTCATAAGCCAGCGCTATAGCATCAACTATCCAGCGCGATATTCTTTGCTTTGACACAGCCAGACCTTTAGTGCGGCCGCCAAAGCATACGAACAACTGCTCTGTCTGTCTGAACAGGGCAGAACGTTCCAAATATACTCTGAGTGCCCTGACCGGGCAGAGTAAATTAGCGTCACTTTCGTCTGCTGGCGGCCAAAGATACCACCTGTGCTCTGAAAGGAGTAGAGAGCACCTTAGGAATATACCCGTGTTTTGGCCTGAGGACAACCCTGCTGTCGTTAGGTCCAAACTCCAGGCAGGTAGCGCTTGATGACAGCGCGTGCAGGTCGCCCACTCTTGACCGAGGCGAGAGCCAGCAAGAGAGCAGTTTTGAGCGACAGCTGTTTAAGGTGCACAGTTCGGAGGGGTTCGAACGGGGCATGCTTAAGTGCGTCCAGGACCGTGGCCAGGTCCCAAATCGGCACCGAGGGGGGGCGTGGGGGATTCATCCTCCTGGCGCCCCTCAGGAAACGAACAACTAGGTAGTTTTTCCCTAGTGTGCGTCCTTCGACCGGCTCATGTGATGCTGCTATGGCAGCCACATATACTTTGAGCGTGGAGGGGGTGCGGCCTGCCTCCAACAGCTCTTGTAAGAAAACGAGCACACTCGGCACTTCGCATGTCTCAGGGTTCAGGTTCCTGGGTTTACACCAGTCACTGAACACCTTCCATTTCTGGGCATATAAGCGCCTCGTAGAGGGCGCTCGCGCCTCAGTAATGGTTCTCAACACTCCACTGGGGAGGTTCCCGGGAATCCGTTGAGGGGCCACGCATGGAGGGCCCACAGATCGGGGCGGGGATGGAGGATCATCCCGTTGGCCTGCCTGAGGAGATCTAGCCTCAGTGGAATCGGCCATGGGGCAGCATGCTCTTTGCAAAATTGATTTTTAGACCCAGGCACTCTAGATGACTGATAACCCAAGACCTGTGTGTCACTAACTGGCTCTCTGATTGTGCTAGTATTAGCCAATCGTCGAGATAATTTAGTATTCGCACTCCCCGCTGTCTCAGGGGGGAAAGTGCTGCATCCATACATTTCGTAAATGTACGGGGTGCCAGTGACAGGCCGAATGGTAGTACTGTGTACTGGTATGACTGTCCCTCGAAAGCGAATCTCAGAAATGGCCTGTGATGAGGCACTATTGGAATGTGAAAGTAAGCGTCCTTCAGATCCACTGACAGAAACCAATCCCCCGGGCGAACTTGCGTGAGGATATGCTTGGTTGTTAACATTCTGAACGAGCGAATCATTAAAGCTTTGTTCAGATGTCTGAGATCTAGAATGGGGCGGAGACCGCCATCCTTTTTCGGAACGAGAAAATAGCGGCTGTAAAAACCTGCCTCGCTCATAGAGGGGGGCACTGTTTCTATAGCGCCTTTCTCTATCAGTTTGAGCATCTCGGTGCGTAGAACATGTGAAACATCTTTTCTCACTTTCGTCTCTACCACTGCTGTGAAGCGGGGCGGTCTGCGAGCGAATTGGAGCGAGTAACCGTGTTTTATTATGTTCAAAACCCATTTCGGCATGTCGGGGATATTTTCCCAAGCTTTCGCTCGCACAGATATGGGCTGAATGCTGGCCGGGGGCGTGTCACAGTGACGTATGGCTCCCGCCAGCGAATCGTTCTGTGTTAATACCGAGCTCACAGCTGTCAGCGGCGCGGGCGCGCGCTGAGCAGCTCTGTTGAATGCCGAGTGCAGGGGTGCGTGTGAGATTACAGGCACGCTCGCTGTAATGCTCACAGAGATGGGGAAATGTTTAACACTGTGTGTATAGTGCTTATGGGTGGGGGTGCATAGACTGTGGTAGGCACGCGCGCCACTTTCAAAAAACTTACCGCTCGTGGCGGGAGGTTTTTGGCCATATAAACAGTGTTTGTGAGATGGGGTGCGTGCATAACAGCGGGCACACGCGCTACCCTTATACAACTTCCCGCTTTTACTGGGGAAGTGTTTATAACTGTGGGAACAGTGCTTGTGTGTAGTGGTGCATACGTGACAGTTGGCACACAATCTACATTTATGGGGCGTCCAGCCTGAGCTGGGAAAACATTTGGCACTGAGTTTACAGTTTTGATATGTGGGAATGCGCACTTTGGTGTGGACACGTGACCCTTTAATGACACAGGTAGAAAATAGCTCTTTATGTGATTTCTGTGTGTCGCCGTAAAAACGGCGTTTGTTTGCAGGTGGGCGAGCTGTGTGGCTGGCACATTGGCTGCTGTATAGACATTTCCAGCCGCCTGTGAGGGGACTGGGTAATGCTTTAAACGTTTTGGAGAGAACGGTCCGGCTCTTGCGAGACACGCGCTCTCCCTTTTCCTCCCTGTAGCTAGGAGGACTTACGAGGCTCTGGGTTCAGCACAATTCTGGGCCGAGGTCCCCGTCGCTCGGGCGGTTGCTTCCTGTTGGCGGAGCGCGAGTGGCGTCGAAAATCCGTTTCAGGTTTGGGCTGAGAAACGGGGGGCGCCGTCTTAGCTCGCTGCTGCTGAGGCGGCCGTTGGCGGCTCTGCGATGAGCTAGATCGCTTGGGCAGGAAGTGACGCATAGCCTGTGAGTTCTTACGGGCTTCGGTGAAGCGCTCGGCGAACTCCTTCACCGCTGGTCCAAACAGGCCGCTTTGGGAGATAGGCACGTCGAGAAATGACGACTTATCTGCATCCTTCATCTCTGTTAGCGTCAGCCACAGATGGCGCTCAAGGACAGTCAGGTTAGCCATAGCACGGCCGATGGATTGGGCGGTGGCTTTTGTAGCTCGCAGCGCTATGTCGGTGGCGCTGCGTAGGTCCTTAAATGCCTCAGGATCGGGTCCAGACTCGTCCTTACTGCGGAGAAGTTTGGCTTGAAATACCTGGAGGACAGCCATAGAGTGAAGCGCTGATGCAGCTTGGCCGGCGGCGGCGTATGCGCGACCGGCGAGAGCTGAAGTAGATCGGCAAGGCTTCGAGGGATGAGAAGCTTTAGCTTTCCATCCAGCGTTGGAGGGTGGACACAGATGATTGGCCACAGCCTCCTCGAGGGGCGGAGTCCCCTCATAGCCTCTTTCTTTCGCGCCGTCCACAGAGGAGAGCGACAAAGAAAAAGAAGGCTTCAGGCGAGCGGAGTGCGGGGCTTTCCACGACTTCGTGAGTTCGTCGTGAACTTTCGGGAAGAAGGGGGAGGGTCTTTGTCGAGGGGCCTGTCGGCGCCCCTGCAGGAACCACTCGTCCAGTCGGCTACGGGCGGGTTCTTCCGGGGAAGACCAATCGAGCCCGAGGTCTTCCACGGCCTTAGAGAGAATGCGGACGATCTCAGAGTCCATGCTGGAGCCCGCGCTCGTGCCCGCTAATGTCGATGGCGCGGGGTCGAAGGACAAGCCCGGCCAATCGTCGGATGCAGCATCACAGGAAAAACTGTCATCCTTGTCATCGTCATCCCCTGACGCGCCAAACGAGACGAGCCCCATCGCTCCGCTGGAGGGGTGCTGGTCCGCCTGTGTGAACTGGACTGGCGGCGGGGAGTCTTCGGGTGGTGGTGAAGCACGCGGGGATTGGCCCGGCGTGACATCACTGCAAACCGCGTGCTCCGGCGGCCTCTGTGAGCGGCGTTTTTTCTTACGCGGCTCGACTAGAGGAGATGGCAGCACGGAAGAGGTGGGCTCTTTCGCGGTGAAAACGGCGAAGCGAGCGCGCAGCTCGGTGAGGCCCAGGGCGTCACACTCGGGACATCTGCCTCGAGTAAGGGCAGCCTCTGCGTGGTCCGGTCCCAAGCAGCGGGCGCAGATGATGTGACGATCCCCGTCCTGAAGAGGGCCTCGACACGAGGCGCAGGAAGGCATTTGAAACAACGCCTTGTGAAATTTGTCTCTTTTAGAAAAGTGTCGCGGGGGCGAACACTGATAGCTTTGAAAAAGGATATAGATGGTGCGCGCCGGATGGCTTAGCAGAAGGGCGATCGAAGGCGGCTGAAGGCGCCGGCGTCCTCGAAGCAGTCCTGCTGTAGGCTTGTCGACGGCGGCGGCGAAAAGACTCCAACAAATCCGGAGGATCCAGCGAAGAGAAGGTTCTTTGCTGAAGGAGATTAAATCTAAAGAACTCAGACGACGGGGCGCCCAATATATAGCCCTTGGCCACGCCCATCTTGGCGGGCTCGAAGCACGCTCATTGGAAGCGGGTTCAGAGTCGCCCCGTCATTGGTTCGTGCAAGTTGCCGCAGCACAGCCAATGACCGAGCTGCCTCGCTCATTGCTGTATGCTGTGCAGCTGCAATGCGTTTTACATAAAGACTTCAATATTTCTTGAGAAAAGGAGTTTTCCCATAGCGTAAAGCTATTACGCAATAAGAGGAACCTCTCGAAAGGGAACGCAAAGTGCTGTTACTTCACTTTGCACACACACACGTGTCTCTGCAACGTCTGTGTCAGCGCAGCGCGTTTTCTCACTCGAGCATGTGGATATTATTGTTTTTCTCAACATGAACGTGAAACAATATAAACACGATAATCATGCTTACTCGAGTATGTACGTTCTGTACGATAACTGCGCAGTCTGCTTTTTTTAGCGTTTTTTCCCCGTTCGCGCTGCTTGAGCTTAAATGCTTTTGCTGTTTATATTTTTTGTTTACACATATTGTTTAATGTTTTCAACTAAAAGAAAACCTTAAGATATATAGTAAGCTTGTTGTGTATATTGCCTAATGTATAAGCTTGTTCAGAAATAATGACAAAAACCTTAAACTTAAAAAAATAACGTATCTCTCGTTAAACGACATTTAAATTTAAACCCAGAAGTCTGTCCCAACCACCTCCGCATTTAGTTTAATCTTAACTTTTTACTTTACTTTACTAGCTCCCTCCTCTTTCAGTCTATGCTCCCTGCTCTGGCTCCATTCGTTCTTCATCTTCCTTGTGTTTTCTGGTGGACGGACGCTCCGTTCGTTTCCATGATCATTTCTCGCGCTGGTTTCACTGCTAACTGCGCGCAGCCAATGGGCGTATGAAACGTCATCACGTAGCATTACGGCACAGTGTTCATGGGAAATGTAGGAAGTACGGCCAGGGGATAAATGACCGAGAACAGAGCCTTATGCATCACCGGCCAAACTGGCTAGTAAGTTTTTATTAACACCCGCCAAAATGAATTTTAACCCGCATTTGGCGGGTTGGCGGGTGTTAATTTAGAACCCTGGTCTCAGCTAATTACAGATAATGAAGGGAGAACGAAAAAACTGTACCTCTCCTTGGTTTCAAACGGATTACATAAACTGGAAATATAAAAAAAAAAAAAAAAATGACTTCATTTAAAAGAAGAAAATTTCAGCTTCATAAAGAGAAATCTCTCGTATCTCTGTGACAAGTATTGACAGAGTTACAGTTATTTTTTCGGACGTGTTTCAGAATGAACTTCACTGACAGAGAGAACGCAGAACGGGCATAATGCTTATTTTTCTTTATTTGACGAAAAGCACAACACTTTGTTTTTATTGTGAGTATCCACAAAAAAAATAGAAACTTAACAGGATCTAATGATGTAGAACACTTATATGTAAGATCAAAATCAACAGAGTAATTTGAGTCTCTTTTGCACTGATAAGAAAAAAAGCGAGCAGATCACGCCGGCGTGATTGCCGACCCCAGAGAGTTAAAGATATGTGATACTTTAAAATAGACATTATACTTACATTTACATCTCAGGCCATTCCACTTCAGTGCAGCAACAGGTCCCACACATTCAGCACATCGGTCCATGCTTGATATTGCTGAATTGACCACGTCATGCTTACAGACCTGTGAAGAAAAACAATTGTGAATGTGAAATAGTAGAAAGGGAATATTCTAAAACACACATGTAAAACTACATTATGAGCTACATTGATCATTTATCTTTTCATTTTTTTTGGGTGAAAGGGAAGCTGTGGTCATATCATTAGAAAAAGACCACTTGCAATCATTAAAGAACATTTACATTACATTGCTTAAATGGTATTGGTTGATATGTGTTACACAAATCCTTATTTAGACATTGTCTAATATTACTGAAAAGAGCTTATAAAAAAAGGCTGCATGCTCTTCACTTTGAAACAGGAGCGCAATAGACTATTTACTTAATTTCAATCTTTCACAATTTGATATGGGCACTAAGCCAAATCATGCTTTCGACTTTAGTTCATTTGACAGATTCTTTGCCTAAGCAATGGCACAGAACACAATGTCAAATACATTTTATGTTATTATTAAAAGTGTAAAAATATTTTTTGGTTCATTCGGTTCAAACTGGGGCAGGACAGATTAGACTGTGCAGGGTTTCTGCACACTTTTTAAAGTCAAATTTAAGGCTTTTTAAGACCCGAAGAAATCAAAATTAATACCTTACATTAGGGGTGCGCAATGTTGACAAAAATATGTCTCGATATTTTTAAAGTTTTGTTGATAATAATTAGATGATATTTTACTGATTGTGTTTGTGTGCTGGTACCATGGTAATACTATATACTATATATGAAGCCATACTATACTATAATGTGAGATAGAAATTAATATTTAAGTCATTCAATTCAAGTTCACGTAAACTTTTCCCTCCGCTGCGGCTGGCAGTCATTCTCCATTCAGCGTTCAAACAGCGCGTCGCGTTCGGCAACAATGAAACTCTCTCCAAGATGATTAAATGTTACTATTATTATACTTGATCTGTAGATAAAGCTCTATGGTTTCGCATAAAATGACTATCTTGCTGGACTGTATTGCTGTACTTTAATCATGTTCCTTTCTACCGTGTGTCTACCGTGTGTCACTATCATTGTTCTTCACGCGCACAGTAACTGAAATTTAATACTGTTAAAAGAAAAGACTCAATTAACTATTGCATAGATAGATACGGTATAATACACCATGCAACGATATGTATTTCCTTTGTGCTTTGAACTTTTCAATGCGGACTCGAAGAGCTGCGCGCTGTGACTCCGTGTTGCTTCAAGCGCATCATTCTGCGCTCGGGATGCGCATAAGCGCTTTGTGCAGCACTGTATTGGAGCCTTTTATAATCATATCATTATACTTTTGCGCAATGAAAGATGATGGATAGGACAGAACAGAACAAAAAAGGCTATTAATAATATGTTGCTACCTCATTAAACAGCTGTTAAACATTTTCTTAATTTTATAGTAGACTATATAAAATAATTGATCTTTTTGATTTTTATCTTGTTTTTCATTAATGTATTTTACAACAATACAAAGAGCAATGTGTAACGTTTTACCAGATTTAGTGCTACACTTATTGCCTCTTATTTGTTCCCCACTAAATAATGTTTTTTTCACTTAATGTTCTGATTTTATACAAATATTGTTTTTCTAGACTAAATTTTACTGAGTCCACTAATCTAGTTTATAATATAATTTTTGTCATAGGTTATGATCATATTTTTTTTTTATTTGTTGTTTTTCTTTATAATGAAGTTGTCTGTATTAAGTAGATTGTATTTAACACACAAAAGAGTGATTATCAGTTCAACACACAGTTATAGAAATTCTACTTGATTTTTTTTTTTAAACTGCGCTGGTATCGGATCGGAATCGGTCGATACTTTTCTGGTAGGCTATATCTAAGTTACCCAGGAGCTCATTTGACATAGGCTTAGCTTGATGAATTGAGTCGTTAAACACAGCAGGGGAGAACGCAACATTAGCCAGCTAGCTAAAGCTCCGGTGGAAAATTATTAGCTAACGCTACGGAGGCCATAATATTTTTGACTCATGGCTGAAGTTAAGTTTCTCCAGCTCTCCCCAGGTTGGCAAAAAAGGCATCTCAAAATGCATCAGATTGATGCTTTAAAATATGGAATATTTAAAATTTTCTTACGGGGGGGCATGCCCCCGGACCCCCCTAGAGGGGTAATATCCTTCTCACCTTTTTCACCCCTGACCCGTTTTCATGCCTGCACTAGAGTGTTGCCCACAGCGCCGCCACTGGCCGGTGGGCTGAATCGATTCATAGGATTTGACGAATCGATATTGAATTGAGAAACAAATAATTGCAATGCATTGATGAATCGATATTTTTACCCAGCCCTAGCTTTTATGTCAAATTCTAACATTCAAATTAAATTATATTAGAATAACAACACAATACCACTGTTACCAGTTAAATTACATAATTAAATCAAAATCCATATTTGCAGTGCAGAGGAGACACAGAAGCGGCATCAGAACTGCCATTAATATATTTACACTCCATTTACAATTGCATAAATAAAGCTATGAGATCGTTTTTTTTTATTCAATATTTAAATATGAACTGATTTCTAATTGCAACATTTTAATTAAAGGGTAGGCTACTTTAAATGTGAAAGTAAAACCGCCAGTAGGTGGTGGCAAGTCACTTTAGGGAGTCATTCATTCAACCGATTTGTTCAAACGGCTGATTCATTCAGGAAGACAAGTGATTGTTCATTGAATCGTTAAAATGATTCGTTCAAAACGCAGATTTCAGTCAAAAAAATAAGCGCTGTTTGTTGCATTGAGACTCTGCTACGGTTTCATTTTGAAATTCTCGTCAGCGAAATAAAGGGAAAACAAACAAAATTGATATTGTTTATAAAATGTAACTCACAAATGTTCATTTAACTGTTATATAAAATAAATATAATATTTGCTATTGTGCACGGGAAAACAGCCCTATTGCTATATATATATATATATATCATATTATGTTATCATACAATATCACATCAGCACATATCACATGACATATATATGCCTAATACAAAAACTAATTTAGAGCCTACCTATAACTGCACTGACACATCACGCAGTGAGAGCAAGCATGAGAGACAAACGCGATGTAAGCTCGCAGTGCGCCCTCATACATAGTTAAAAGTAAAACAATGATTACAATATCATAATAGACAATACACATCGCACACCACTAAAGAATGAACTTACAATTAAACTGACATTTACCAACTTGCTTCTCCTTCTCTCCTGCTGCCTGTTTCGCGTGCAGGAGTTAGACGTAATGCTGCCGCGAATGCCGAATGTGACGCGAAATGTCACGTGAACGAGCAAATCCACAAAGAAAGAATAATAAATACTAAAGTACGCTATTTAGATATGTCTACGTCAAATTGCCATCGGAAATTTCAAACCTTTCATAAGTAAAAATAAGACTTTTTATGGTCTTACATTTTTTAAATCTAATTTATTTTGACACTGTCGATCACGACATACTTCTTGACAGGCTGGAAAACTGGGTGGGGCTTTCTGGGACAGTCCTAAAATGGTTCAGGTCATACTTAGGCAAGGCAAGGCAAGGCAAGGCAAGTTTATTTATATAGCACATTTCATACACAATGGCAATTCAAAGTGCTTTACATAGAAGAAATTAAAATAATCAAAACAAATAAGAATAATTAAAACAGTTTAGAATAAAAAATCAAATAAAGTAGTACTGGTCCACCCCTATCTGAGATGGAAGAGATTGAGCCGGTTTACGGTGCCACTGGACCTCTAGCCCAGGGACGTGCTCTGCTGGGGTGGTGCTACACCAGTAATGCCCAGCGGGGCCCCCACAGACGCCCCCACCTCTAGCCCAGGGACGTCCTCTGCTGGGGTGGTGCTACACCAGTAATGCCCAGCGGGGCCCCCACAGAGCACGCTTCGTGTGCGCTGTCTGCTGCCGTTACCCTTAACGACGCTCTCAGCGACTTCTTATACAGCAGTATAACTTACTCCTTCACTCGCCTCATCGGAGTGAAGACTCTCCCGCTCTCCTTCAAAATCTCTTCCAGAGATTATAAAAATAAGTAAATAAATAAATTAGAAATTAGAAAACAAACAAAGACAAAACCAGTACAGTAAAAACAGTCAGACGGACAGTGGCACAGTGCTCATTCAGTAAATGCATAGCTAAACAGATGTGTTTTGAGTCTGGATTTGAAAGTGACTACTGTAGGAGCACATCTGATCTCCTCTGGAAGCTGGTTCCAGCTGCGGCTGGCATAATAGCTAAAAGCAGACTCTCCATGCTTAGAGCGAACCCTTGGTATTTCTAGCTGATGTGATCCTAATGATCTGAGTGATCTGTTAGGTTTATATTCAGTGAGCATATCTGCAATATATTGAGGTCCTAGCCCATTGAATGATTTATATACCAGTAATAATACTTTAAAATCGATCCTAAATGTAACTGGGAGCCAGTGTAAAGACCTGAGGACTGGTGTGATATGGTCATATTTTCTGGTTCTGCTCAGAATCCTGGCAGCAGCGTTTTGTATGAGCTGCAACTGTCTTATGGTCTTTTTAGGAAGGCCAGTGAGGAGTCCATTACAATAATCCACCCTGCTGGTGATGAAAGCATGCACAAGTTTCTCTAAGTGTTGATTGGAAACAAAGCATCTAATTCTTGCAATATTTTTCAGATGATAGTATGCTGATTTAGTTATTGCTTTGACATGACTACTGAAACTAAGGTCTGACTCTAGAGACACACCAAGATTCCTGACTTGATTTTTAGTTGTTAGACCCCTAGCGTCAAGGTATGCATTCACCTTGAGAACTTCATCTTTGTTTCCAAACGCAATAACTTCAGTTTTGTCTTTGTTTAACTGAAGAAAGTTTTGGCACATCCAACTGTTGACTTCATCAATGCATTGGCACAGGGAGTCAATGGGGCTGTAGTCGTTAGGCGATAGGGCTAAGTAGAGCTGTGTGTCGTCTGCATAGCTGTGGTAAGCAATTTTGTTCTTTCTCATTATTTGGCTCATTGGGAGCATATACAGGTTGAACAGGAGTGGTGCAAGAATTGAGCCTTGAGGGACTCCGCAAGTCATGGATGTCCACTCAGACTTATGGTCTCCTATACTCACATAATAACCTCTCCCTTCTAAGTATGACCTGAACCATTTTAGGACTATCCCAGAAAGCCCCACCCAGTTTTCCAGCCTGTCAAGAAGTATGTCGTGATCAACAGTGTCAAATGCAGCACTGAGGTCGAGTAGTACCAGCACTGATAATTTCCCTGAATCAGTATTTAAGCGAATATCGTTTATTATCTTTATGAGAGCTGTCTCTGTGCTGTGATGCTATCGGAAACCAGATTGAAAATTGTCAAAGTATCCATTCGAGATTAAGAATTTGTTCAGCTGATTGAAGACAACTTTTTCAATGATCTTGCCTATGAAAGGAAGATTTGAGATCGGTCTATAATTGCTCAAGATGGTCTTATCCAGATTGCTCTTTTTCAGGAGGGGCTTGACAACTGCAGTTTTCAGGGAGTTTGGAAAACTCCCAGAGAGAAGTGAGGCATTTACCACTTCTAGGAGATCTGCTTCTAAGCTGTTTAACACACTTTTGAAAAAAGATGTGGGAAGTGCGTCAAGGGCGCAGGTTGATGTTTTAAGGTGCTGTACGGTTTCTTCCAAATTTTTTAGAACTTAGAAGGGAGAGGTTATTATGTGAGTATAGGAGACCATAAGTCTGAGTGGACATCCATGACTTGCGGAGTCCCCCAAGGCTCAATTCTTGCACCACTCCTATTCAACCTGTATATGCTCCCAATGAGCCAAATAATGAGAAAGAACCGAATCTCTTACCACAGCTATGCAGACGACACACAGCTCTACTTAGCCCTATCGCCTAACGACTACAGCCCCATTGACTCCCTGTGCCAATGCATTGATGAAGTAAACGGTTGGATGTGCCAAAACTTTCTTCAGTTAACCTCTTAACCGTCTCCAGAGCGTCGGCGCACTGAAGCGTTTTTTTATTTATTTAGTTCAAATATACTATCAGATTTAATGTTATACCTTGACAAACTATACATCATTAAAAAGATATAAGACTCAAGATTCAGTATTTGACCACTATTGTATTCTGAGAAACTTATAGTGACAGTTATGTCTTAATTTGTGTCAGGAGTTATGAAATTAAAAAATGAGTCGTTACCTTTAATATGAATTATGAGCCTCAGCCGGTCTCATTCAGAAAAAAACTCCCGTGCGATCGTCATGACAGCGCTTGACAAAACAACGTCCCTCAGGGCTTTTAGCTCAAACATGTGCAGATTTGGAGAAATATTGATAGATTCTCATAGCTTTACATTAGACTTCTATAGACAGGAATAATATTTATTGAATTTATACCCAAATGCGTCGATGTAATCATTTTGAGCGCTGTATACTCTGTACTGTGTTATCAATTCATCCTGAAAGTGAGGGCGCTGTTTGAACAGAAGTCCATAATATATGGATCACATGAAGAAGAGCCATAATCATGTGACATTCAGGAAGTCCTGCCACAACAAAGCTATCCGAGATCGCTGTAAAGTGCAGATAAAGATGTTTTGAAGACAATAAACATGATTGCAATGATATTTGATTTACCTGTGTTCTTCGAGTCATGTCAGGTATTTTCATAATAATTGATTATATGTATAATGTAATGCTAATCGAGATAGACTTTCAAATTGTGCAGAATACAATAAAATAATATATTTTCTATCTGATTTTTTTATCTGAAGCCAAATCAGATTACAGAAAGTTATTTAAAACACTCGACTTGCGCTATAAAGTAAGTTTGGAGAACAAACATAGTTTTATTCTCATAAATTGTCGTGTATTGATGGTGTGCTAAGCTAACATGCTAGCTAGTACTGAGCACCTGCTACCTTACTTCGGTGTAATTTTTATGATTTTTTTCTAAATAAGAATGCTTACTGAAATGTTTCGTTTTTCAAAAAGGGCATTTGATACAGTTTCACTGTGAAGTGAGAACTTTTATAAAATAAATGAGGGATTGAAACAGTGTGAATTGCTAGTCGTTAGTGATTATAATGCAGACAAAAGAAAAGCATATTTAGAGCAATAAACTGGCTGGAGAGGTGTGAATATGTGCAGGGGAGACTGAGACTGAATGGGGCTCGTTTTTGCATCACAAAACAATAGAGGCAATAGACTGAATAGATGCTTATAAGAAAACAATAAACACCAGTCTAATCAAAATAAAGTCATATGACATGATCTTGAAAAACATTGAACTAAATACAGAGTTTTAGACTTATCATCTTCAAATTTTAAATATAACATGGCCAGACATGTGGCTTTAGCTGCAGTGCATTTCTAGATTGCTACAATGCCAACTTCAATTTTATTTTCATGAAGATGTTTCATAAAAATAAATGTATAATAACTTTACAAAACTTTGAAGCTATTTATAACTATTTTTTTCATTATGATAATAATTAATTCTACATTTACAATAAACTTCCAGGTGTCAGCTTTCAAATGAGATCTTACTTGTGCTTTTAGTACAAAGGGTTCATGAACTGTATCTGTTTCAGTTTGGGAATGCCATATCTGGGGATTTTTCAAAAATGGGCTTGAAGCTTAACAGGTTAAACAAAGACAAAACTGAAGTTATTGCGTTTGGAAACAAAGATGACGTTCTCAAGGTGAATGCATACCTTGACGCTAGGGGTCTAACAACTAAAAATCAAGTCAGGAATCTTGGTGTGTCTCTAGAGTCAGACCTTAGTTTCAGTAGTCATGTCAAAGCAATAACTAAATCAGCATACTATCACCTGAAAAATATTGCAAGAATTAGATGCTTTGTTTCCAGTCAAAACTTCGAGAAACTTGTGCATGCTTTTATCACCAGCAGGGTGGATTATTGTAATGGACTCCTCACTGGCCTTCCTAAAAAGACCATAAGACAGTTGCAGCTCATACAGAACGCTGCTGCCAGGATTCTGAGCAGAACCAGAAAATATGAACATATCACACCAGTCCTCAGGTCTCTACACTGGCTCCCAGTTACATTTAGGATTGATTTTAAAGTATTATTACTGGTATATAAATCATTTAATGACCTAGGACCCAAATACATTGCAGATATGCTCACTGAATATAAACCGATAAACAGATCACTCAGATCATTAGGATCACATCAGCTAGAAATACCAAGGGTTCACTCTAAGCAAGGAGAGTCTGCTTTTAGCTATTAAGCCAGCCGCAGCTGGAACCAGCTTCCAGAGGAGATCAGATGTGCTCCTACAGTAGTTACATTAAAATCCAGACTCAAAACACATCTGTTTAGCTATGCATTTACTGAATGAGCACTGTGCCACTGTTCGTCTGACTGTTTGTACTGTATTATACTGTATATATTTTAAAAAAAAAATTATTCTAAACTGTTTTAATTATTGTTATTTCTTTTGATTTTTTAATTTCTTCTATGTAAAGCACTTTGAATTACCATTGTGTATGAAATGTGCTATATAAATAAACTTGCCTTGCCTTGCCTTGCGACGTTTTAAGACTTTTTAAGGACCCGCGGGGACCCTGCTGTGTTGGGCCAGCAGAGTAAAGGCAATTAATGGGAAACACTGTGTAAATAGTTTAACTAAAACATGTAAATACCTCCTTGACTCCTTCAGTAGGTGCACAAATGCTCTGCTCCTCATTTAACAAGTACTCTTTGACAGGAGGCATCTGAAAACAATGAAAAAAGAAGGCTAATGTGGTGAAGATACACTACAACAAACTTGTATTTTCTAAAATGATGCAATGGTCTTTTAACTACCATCTCAACATCCTTCTCAACACAGTCTTGATCTTCCAATGATAATCTGTCCTTCTCAGGAGTCACCTGGAAGTAAAGAAAATTTAAAATAAAAAAACATGTCTAAAAATGTGAAATATATATATTATCTACAGAAAGCTGGTTCTAAACAGAACCATCCAAAACAAAATAAAACTATGTAATCCGTAGGAAATGTGCATTTCTCTCCGGCGCGTTCACTACTGCGAAGATCGCAAGTCAGTATCGTCAACTTCATCTTTGCAGCCGACACAGAAAACACTTGTTTATTGATAAACAATTAAAATGTCTCATTGCCAACCATAGACCGTATATAAGAGGCACAAACAGAGCGGAAATACTGGGCGGAAATGAACTAAAACTTCTATGATTTGTGGCGGGTTGCAACCATAAAATGACCTAAAACTTAAATCGCAATTCATTTTTTATTCGGCAAATAACGTTTCCATCAGCGTTTATCGCATAAGCCGTATATCGAATAAGATAAAATCCGATGAGACCGAACGCATTTCATTTGACTCGATATTCATGAATTTCAATCGAATTATACTGTTTCTATAAGGCATTTTTCATTCGATATCACTTAATGCGGATAAAAACGTGTGGATGGAAACATAGCTACAGACATACCTTTTCCAGTCCTTCAGTGGATGCACAGACCCTTGATTCAATTAACACTGACTGATCACTGACAACTGTCAACTGAAAACATGAAATAAAAACAAGCTCACATTATGAACGAGGTACTCAAGCAAAAGATGGCTAATGATACCATTATTAGATGATGCCTGAAGAAATTCAGGTATGATGGCACATTTTCAACCACTGGGTAATTATAGTGGGCAAATAAATCCATAGGTTACAGCAGTGACTTGCATGAATACCACGTTAATATTTCTCCCTCTTTTAAATGTGCATTTAGTTAAAACTCTGAATATATGTCCATAACCATTTAATTTTTAGAGAGAGAAAAAAAACAATACCTTATGTACATCTCTGGCTTCTGACTGGGAATGAGTGTTCACTTTAACCCTCTGGGGTCTGAGGGGGTTTTGGGGCCCTGGATAAGTTTTGACATGCCTTGAATTTCTGCTTTTTTCAGTCGCTTTAAAACATATTAATGGCTAATGTCGGATTACACTGTATTCAGCACAAACAGGGCTACAGTAATATGTGAGCATCATGTATGTTTGTATTTATGAGAAAATAACGTTTATACGTGTTTTAAAAAAACAACTAAATGTCAAGTCACTGAAATAAGATCATATAACACATAGTAAACATTGGTTCACAAGACTTTTCAGAGCTGCATCTTGTAGCCTAGAGTTTTTTCTTCAAAATGATGTGAAAATTGTCCTGAGCACTCACTCATACAAAACAATATAGCCATTTAACTTTTGTAACACACTTTTAGTGTCAGAATGGCTGTATGCGAGGAGGCATGACACATCATTAATAATGCAGTGATTCACACCTGAAGAGACAAAGACCCTCCCCTGGGAATATCAATGAGGAATGTGACAGAGGGAACTATAGAGAATGAATGTGAGGAGACTTAATGATCACATTAAGCCTAGAACTAAACACCTTTCAGTACACTGAACACCACTCACAGGACATGGAAAATGACATTGATCCTGTGAACAACTTCCTTGCTAACATCAACAATAACTGCCACTATTACAATGATGAACAGTTTAACAGTTCAATCAAGACTGAACAGCAATTATCCATTATCCACTTTAACAGCAGATGTCTGTATGCCAACTTTCACAGTATAAAACACTATCTAAATCAATTAAAACAGAACTTTAACATAATTGCAATAACAGAAACTTGGATAAATAGTGAAAAGGGATCAGATTTTGAAATTGAAGGATATGAAATGTCTTCTATTAACAGAGTAAATAAGAGCGGGGGTGGTGTGACACTGTATGTGGACAAGGATTTAAATTATAAGGTGGTGGAAGAAAATGTCAATGGTGGTGGATAATTTACTGGAATGTGTCACAATAGAAATATGTATGGAAAAAAAGAAAAATATTATTGTAAGTTGCATATACAGGTCACCAGGTTCGAATATTGACATATTTAAGGACTGGATAGAAGAGACATTTACAAAAACTAGCCAAAAAGTCATGTTCATCTGTGGGGACTTCAATATCGATTTGTTAAACCCAAATAACCATAAAATGACTGAGGATTTTATCAACACCGTGTTTAGTCTAGGCCTCTATCCACAAATTACCAGACCCAGCCGAATAACTTCTCATTGTGCAACACTAATAGATAATATATTTACAAATAGCATACAAAACACTACAGTGAGTGGATTACTGATAAACGATATCAGTGACCACCTACCAATTTTTACAGTGTATGACAGTAACTACACTTTAAACAGACATGCGAATAAACCAATTTCCAAAAGGGTCAGAACAGAAGAAACAATGGAGGCATTTAAAGTTGATCTGCTAGCACAAGACTGGGAGTTTATTAATAATGAAAAAGATGTTGACAAAGCATATGAAGAATTCTTAAGAATATTTAAATTATTATATGATAAAAATTGCCCAATTAAAATATATAGCAGGAAACAAAAACAAAATGATAGACTGTGGATTTCCAAGGGATTACAAAACTGTAAAAAGAAAAATACACTTTATAGAGAATTCATAAAACACAGAACTATAGAGACCGAAAATAGATATAAAAAATATAAGAATAAGTTAACCAGTATTATGAGAACTTGTAAGAAAGAATATTACACAAAACTATTAGATAATAATAAAAACAATATTAAAGGTATGTGGAACATTTTAAATAATATCATTAAAAATAATACTAGACAGGCTACTTATCCCCATTACTTTATTGATAATGATAAAAATATCAATAACATGGAGGATGTGGTTAATGACTTCAATAATTTTTTTGCAAACGTGGGACCAAACTTAGCTAAACAAATCCCAGTTCCACAAACATTAGAAAGTAGATATAATTACTTAATAGAAAGAAATCCCAGTTCAATATTTCTGACAGCAGTTGATGAAAAAGAAATAATAGATATTGTTAAAGGATGCAAAAACAAACCATCCACTGATCATGATGGAATAGATATAAAAATGATACAAAAAGTAATAGAGGGGATCGCCAAACCACTAACGACTATCTGCAATTTATCATTTCTAACCAGTCAATTTCCAACAAAAATGAAAATAGCAAAAGTCATTCCTCTATACAAAACTGGAAATAAACACCACTTCACAAATTACAGGCCTGTCTCTCTACTGCCACAATTTTCAAAAAATTTAGAAAAACTATTTAACAACAGATTAGAGATATTCATCGATACAAATAAACTACTCACTGACAGCCAATATGGATTTAGAAAAAATTGTTCAACATCACTAGCACTAACAGAACTCATTGAAGAAATCACAAACTCCACAGACAAAAAGAAATATGCAGTTGGGGTATTCATTGATCTAAAAAAAGCATTTGATACAATAAATCATGAAATATTAATCAGGAAACTGGAACGAATTGGGGTCAGGGGGGTAGTTCTAAACTGGGTAAGTAGTTATCTGAGAGAGAGACAACAATTTGTGAAGATGTGAGATTATTCGTCAGAATGTCTGGGCATGACTTGTGGTGTCCCCCAGGGGTCAGTGTTGGGACCAAAGTTGTTTTTATTATACATCAATGATATTTGTAAAGTATCTGAAGTATTGAATTTTGTATTATTTGCTGATGATACAAACATATTTGGTTCAGGGGACAGCTTACAGCAACTCTTGGAATTAATCACTTCAGAATTCAAGAAAATAAAACAATGGTTTGACATAAATAGGTTATCAATAAATTTGAGTAAAACTACATTCATGGTATTCGGAAACTGTAAGTCAAATTATCAAGCACAGATACAGATAGAGGGTGTTAACATAGAAAGAGTACATGAAAATAAATTCCTTGGAGTGATCATAGATGAGAAGATTTGCTGGAAGCCTCACATAAAATACATCAAAACCAAACTGTCCAAAACTATTGCAGTCCTAGCAAGAGCTAAACACATACTGGAGCTTAAATCACTTCGCATTTTGTACTGTTCACTATTGTTACCTTATTTGAATTATTGTGTAGACGTTTGGGGAAGCACTTATCTACATTCACTACAGCCACTAGTTATAATGCAAAAAAGAGCCATGAGAATCATTCACAACGTTGGATTTCGGGATCACACACATTCATTATTTTTGCAGTCTAAATTGCTAAAAATTCAAGATCTAATCGAATACCAAATTGCAGTATTCATGTTCAAAGCAAGAAATAGCCTATTGCCTGGGAATATACAAAAGATGTTTTCTGAGAGGGAGGGAGAGTACAATTTAAGAGGAAGGGGAAATTAAGAATAATAGATTTAGAACAACAAGGAAATGATTGTTTATAAATTTGCAGGGTAAAATTGTGGAATAAACTAAATGATAAACTAAAGCAATGCTCAAACATACTCCTATTTAAAATAATGTACAGGGAAATTATCTTCAAGAGGTATCAAGAAGCACTGTAGTGAAAGTAGGAGTGCTTCATTGTTTGTTGTTTTTCTTTGTTTGCTTTGTTATTTTTGGTTGTATTTTTTTGCTGCTTGAACAAGTACATAATTGAGGTTAGATAAATAAATACTTGTCAGTGGTCACAATGATGTGTATGTGGGTATGCATGTGTACACTACCGTTCAAAAGTTTGGGGTCGGTACGATTTTAAATACTTTTAAAAGAATTCTCTTCTGCTAACCATGGCAGCGCTTATTTGATTAAAAATACAACAAAAATCAGTTATAGTATTAAATATTATTCCAGTGTAAATCAGCTGTTTTCTGTGTGAATATATAGTAAAGTGTAATTTATTCCTGTGATCAAAGCTGAATTTTCAGCATCACCAGTGTCAGTGTCTTCAGTGTCAAATGATCCTTCACAAATCAGTATAATATGAGGATTTGATGCTCAAGAAACATTTATTATTATTATCAATGTTGAAACAGTTGTTGGTCTGTCAGTTGTACAGTTTTTTTTTGTTTTTTTTTTTAGGATTCTTTGATGAATAGGAAGTTCAAAAGAACAGCATTTGTTTGAAATAGAATCTTTTGTAACATTATAAATATCTTTACTGTCCTTGATAAATAAAAGTATTAATTTCTTTCCTCCAAAAAATAAAAATAAAATTCTCACTGACCCTAAACTTTTGAACGGTAGTGTATGTATGCGTGTATGTATATGTGTGCATATGTACAGGTCCTTCTAAAAAAATTAGCATATTGTGATAAAGTTAATTATTTTCCATAATGTAATGATAAAAATTAAACTTTCATATATTTTAGATTCATTGCACACCAACTGAAATATTTCAGGTCTTTTATTGTTTTAATACTGATGATTTTGGCATACAGCTCATGAAAACCCAAAATTCCTGTCTCAAAAAATTAGCATATTTCATCCGACCAATAAAACAAGTGTTTTTAATACAAAAAAAAGTCAACCTTTAAATAATTATGTTCAGTTATGCACTCAATAGTCAATACTTGGTCGGGAATCCTTTTGCAGAAATGACTGCTTCAATGCGGCGTGGCATGGAGGCAATCAGCCTGTGGCACTGCTGAGGTGTTATGGAGGCCCAGGATGCTTCGATAGCGGCCTTAAGCTCATCCAGAGTGTTGGGTCTTGCGTCTCTCAACTTTCTCTTCACAATATCCCACAGATTCTCTATGGGGTTCAGGTCAGGAGAGCTGGCAGGCCAATTGAGCACAGTAATACCATGGTCAGTAAACCATTTACCAGTGGTTTTGGCACTGTGAGCAGGTGCCAGGTCGTGCTGAAAAATGAAATCTTCATCTCCATAAAGCTTTTCAGCAGATGGAAGCATGAAGTGCTCCAAAATCTCCTGATAGCTAGCTGCATTGACCCTGTGCATTTAAGTGTTCAGTGCACATAGAGAGAGACGAGAGTCTTACTGAAGATGGATGGTTTGTATGAGCCCACTCATCCACCTATGTGTATAGCCTACTCGCTCACATAGTATTAGCACAAAATCTTTATAAACTTTGAAGTGAACAGTTCACAGCACACAAGAATACAGTTACATGTCTTTGTGCCATTTTTGAAAACTGTTCCTGTTCAACTGAAGACACAAGTGAACATTGCATGCCTGGCATTTCCAAGGTGTGTCCTGCCTTTTACCAAGCTGTGCTTTGCAAAGCACACCGCTCTTGCGGCCAACTGTGGAAATATCCTTTGCATCGGAGGTCAGCTCAGCTCCTGGAATGGGTATATGGTCACTACTGCATTGTTTTGGTGCTACTTTCTGTGACACACCACAGAGCTCTGCAATAAGCTGTTCCATGAACTCTTTATGGGTCATGTTACCACATAACTCTTTGTGGATAAGGAAAGCATTGGTGGCAGCAATGTCCAAGAAGTGTAGAAAGATCTTTCTGTACCACTTCATTGTTTTGTGCTGTGCAGAGTAGTACTGTAACAGCTGATCGGACAGGTCAACGCCCCCCATGTGTTTGTTGTATACAGTCACAGGTGCAGGACATGGAAATGTCTTTGTCCTCCATGTATCCTGTGTTTTCACCCTCCTCTGTGCAGTGTCTCCCGTATAAGCAGGATGGATGGTAGAACAGACAGATACCTCTCGTGTGTCCATCTACTTCACAAATACAAGAGGTCCATCCCGAATCCACCTGATGGATCCCCTGGCAGATCTTTTTGAGAGTGCATTAGCTGCATTACGAGGGCAGTCCTTCCTGTTGTCCCTTTAAGTCCCACATGCACCAACCTTCATTGCAAACAAGTCCTTTAGGAGCTTTGGGCTTGTGTAGAAATTGTCCATGGTACCCAGAACCCAAAAATGTGTGGTCCAAAAGAGATGTTACAGCATCATATGACAGTCCATGGCCTGTGGGAAAGTTGTTTTTTCCTGTGTACACAGAAAAGTCCACAGTGTATCCATTCGATGAGTCTGCAAGAACAAACAACTTGAAACCCCACCTGGTTGGCTTGGCTTTCATGTACTGTGTCATACCTGTGTGTGCTTTGCATGCCACCATTGTTTGAAAAATAGTTTGAATAGACTCATGGGTGAATGCTAGTCTACAGAGCTCAGTTGCGGTCCAGTTTCCCGTGCGGGCAGGAATCGCAGTGTCTGTGGAACCATGTCAACATCGGTCTCTGTTTTCCATGACAGAGTGACTGCCTGTTGCTCGTCTGCTTGTTTGCTTGGCTCTCTTCAGAACTGGTGCTTGGACATGTTCATTGTCACATCTGTTATAAAAAAGAAAGAAAAAGTGTGAGCATGCTGATAACACAATCAAAGAAACTGTATTATTGTCATTATCAATCACTAATTGCCATGGATAAAAAAAAAAGATGTTTTTTGTAATTTCACACAAGAATAGGAACCTTTACATTATGTCGATGTAACCACAATTAGGCTACATTACATCTGTAAAATATTACGTCTATGCACTTACTCAGTATGATTCTGGATCGCACTGAGAACTGAACGACACCTCCGTGTCCCTCTGCGAGGTGCTGGCGAAGGAGAGCATGATGCAGACACATTCCTAAAAAACAAAACAAAAAACTGTTAGCACATTATCCAAAGTAAACTGATGGAAAATTAATGGGTATGGATGCACAATGTATGTATATATCGGTTGATGGGCGGAGAAACATCTATTGATGGGCCGTATAGACCGCGTCACCGCGAGTATCTGTTTATGGCCCATATAGACCGCACGCATTTACTGATACACTCAATGAACGGATCGTTCGCGAACGACACATCACTACATTTCAAACATTTACACCTGTATTCACAAACATCTGTGCATAAGGCAGTATTTACTGATGATAAGTAGTGTCATAGACTAACCAAAACTGAACATTTAAATATAAAAAATATATTGTATTTAGACAGTATCACATATTTTACCGGAGTCTGAAATATATTTCTCTCAATCACATTATATAACCTATGCAGTTATTCGCAAACAAAAGGCATTACACATAAGGCAGTATTTTAGCATGATTATCAGTGTCATAAACTAATCTCAAAACTGAGTGAAATATATGTAATATACAACTATGTTTAGAGTACATTTACATTAAAAAAAAAGCGTCTGCTAAATGACTAAATGTAAATGTAATATCACATTTAAAAAGTTTACACGAGCGTATACAAGAATGTTAGGGATATTGTGAGGCAATCTTTCGTATGTCAAAAGCTAGCCAAAACTAGGCAAAATATAGTCTGAATATTCATTTGAGCTCTATATGATCAGAAAAGGAATTATATAACACTAAACAACTTACTCCGAACTTGTATCCTCGGCGGGTTCAATTCGTTCTTCAAAATGCAGCCGTTCGTCGTCCGAGTTGCAATCTTTCTCTGAGGAAAAGGTGAATTCTTCCTCGCTGTCCAGAATCATCGCTGTCCAGTGGCGTGCCATCCTCAAAACGCGATGAACTATCAGTGAATCTGATGGAGAAACTTTGTGTTTTTTGGCATTGATCGGGGGGCGTGTGCTATCCATAACGTTAGATCACCTATTTACCATGTGAAAAGCGCTGGGGGCGTGGCGGCCTCCATTAAAGATAATGAAGAGGTACAGAAAGAAAACTGTACCTCTCCTTGGTTTCAAACGGATTACATAAACGGGAAATAATTTTTTTTTAAATGAAGAGAATTTCAGCTTCATAAAGAGAAATCTCTCGTGTCTCTGTGACAAGTATTGACTGAGTTAGTTCATTTTTCGGACGCGTTTCAGAATGGACTTCACTGACAGAGAGAAGGCAAAACGCGCATCATGTTTATTTTTCTTTATTTGACGAAAAGCACAACACTTTGTTTTTATTGTGAGTATCCACAAAAAAATAGACACTTAACAGGATCTAATGATGTACAACACTTATATGTAAGATCAAAATCAACAGAGTAATTTGATTCTCTTTTGCACTGATAAGGAAAAAATCGAGCTCGTCGCACCGGCGCGATAGCCGACCCCAGAGGGTTAAAGAGGGAACAGAATGCCTATAGGCTACTTAAAGTCTTGTGCTGTTCAGTGTTGTTTTTGGCAGCCCTTTTAGTTTTAGACTTAGTCTTTTGTACGAAAATGCTTTTTAGTTTTAGTCACATTTTAGTCACTTAAAAACTTGATAGTTTTAGTCAAGTTTTAGTCGCCGAAATTGCAAAAAGGTTTTAATCAAGTTTTAGTCAATTTTAGTAAAAAAAAAAAAAAAGTATTTGAAAAATAGAGAAAATAAAATGCGGCTGTGTCAAAATTGGTATCAAGTTCAAAAATAGAAAAGAAATAAAAGTGCCATTTTGCAATCTGTTAAAAAAAGAAAAGAATAGAAATCCATTTGGCAAGACAGGTCTATTTATCCCTGCATTAGTGGCTGCAATGAGCCTGTTTTGAATTGCACAATTTCTCAAAAGTCATGCTCAATGTTCAGCTGAGATCTGTACTTTGTTTTCAGTGAAACTGAAACAGCTGAAAAGCCCGTCTCACAGAGATATGATGTGGCAAAGGGAAGAAGAATGCACACAGCTCTCTGCCTTTAGCCTACTTAAAAACGTGATATATATATTTTTTTTAAATAGATAAAATAGACATAACAAACTGTGTTTGATATGGGATTAAAATGATGGGTAGTGTATGGGCAGTGTATAAGATATGAACTAATGATTAATTACTTTAATATTCCTTTGTTCCGATCAGAGCATGTGAGCTGAGAGCGCATTTCTGAATATTCCTCGGCTCGCTCATTCAGCTCAGGGTCGCGCGCTCAACACAGAATGGCCTGCTGGTTCGAGAATATGTGGAATAAGAGCTGCCTCCGACTAAAGTTTGTATTCTAGTCGACTAGTAGTTGTTCATTTAAGCCATTAGTGGACAAATCGCCCCTTTATATTAATTTAATAACTTAAATAGGCTATACGGGATATTGAGCGTTATAGCCGCACTCAAGCGCACGACCGCACGCATAAAGCTTGCCACAAAGAACCGGCAAAAGTAATGATTATAAATGTGTAAAAAAATAGCAAGGAGACATTTGATTGTTTATTAATAAACTGGTGTTTTCGGTGTCGCTGCAAAGATGAATTTGACGATGCGGACTCGCCATGAACGAATAAAGATAAAAAGGCATAAAACGGAAAATTTCCTCCCGTTTTGGAGGAGACCTGTCACGGCAGTGGGGCGCGCCCCACACTTTGAGAACCGCTGGATTATACTGAAACTGAAAGTATGTCCATAAATCATCTCGTCGTTTCCGACCACCAAGCCCGTCTATTGGCTTCGATCGCCGCCGTGGTCCTTCGAAGATGTGTGGCGAGTGACTAGCCGCAGCCGCAGTGTGTTGTTGTGTGGAATCTGGTGCGCGCGCGGCATGGGTACCCAAAACAATGATAGGAAGCGGCAGCATTGCTGATACTTTTTTAGCTCAAAACAGACAGATTTCACGCAAAATAGGCAGAAATGACATGCATTGCGAACGTCAGACTTAGTCATTTTCGTTCCGTCTCGTCTTGTCAACGAAAACTCGAAAATGTCTCGTCATGTTTTAGTCACCTTAGAGCCATTTTTAGCTAGTCATCGGCGCGTTATCGTCATAAAGTGCGTCAACGAAATCATTTCGTTATCGTCATCGTTGACGAAAACAACATTGGTGCTGTTTTATAAAGGCACAAAGCCATATCACGGTTTCGATTTTAGTTTATTGGCAAAATATAACACTAGAGAGCTTTATGTTATACATTTTACATCTCATATGTGTTGGGAAAAGGGAGAAGAGAGAGTTCGGCAAAAGGCGGATTCGAACTCTGGTCGAACGCGTCAAAAGCTGCTTTCACGCACCTACGACCTACGCCACTGTAGCTATTTAGTGGCGGGCGTTTTTTTGCTGAAAAGACAGGCACTGAGTGCAAATATACGCTCCGTAATCGGAAATGTAAAAAAAAATACAAAAATTTACCTTCCCCTCGCTTGGGCCCCAAGTGCCCATAATGCCTATTGGGTAATCCGGGCTTGTTCATTGAGTCTGTCTGTGATTACATGAAGAAACAGAAAAAAACTGAGACAGACTAAATCCAGAAGAACTGCAGCAATGTCTCCAAGACGCTTGACGAAACCTTCCTGCAAAGCTACAGTACTGTGAAAAGTTTTAGGCACATGTGCAAAAGGGCTGTAAAGTCAGGATGCTTAAATAAAATATATTCTTGACAATTTTTTTAATCAATTAACCTCTATTAAATAAATCAAATAAATATTTGGTGTGATAACACTTTGTGTTTAAAACGGCTTTTGTCCAGGTACAATGCACAGTTTTTCAGTTAGATTTACAGGAAGGTTTCTTTAAGCATCTGAGAGACGTTTCCGCAGTTTCTTCATGTAGCCTGACCCCAGACAGACTCGCTGATGGTGACGTCAGATCTCCATGCGGAGCACCGGCTGTTGTCAGACTGCATATATAAATCTTACTGGATTAGAACAATTA